GTGGGCTGTGGGGCCTCACAGAAGAGCTGAGACATAAGCAGGGCCCGGGGTTAGTCGTGGGTCAGAGGGAAGACCTTCTACTGCATAGGAGTTCACAGGACCTTTGGGCAAGTCATTCAAACTTTAAGCCTCATTTCACCACCTGTAAAGTGGAGGCTATAATAGAACCTCCTTCAGAGTTGTAGTGAGGAGTCAATTAGGCCATTGGTATACCAGTAACAGTTAACACCTTTATAGAGGGATTCATGTGCCACGTACCATTCTAAACTCGTTATGTGCAATAACTTTCTTAATCCACGCAACTGCCTTAAGAGTAAGGTACTCTAATTTTTTTCACAAAAGACATTGAGACACAAAAGTCAAGTAACCAACTTTGCCAGATAGAAAGGGACAAAGTCTGGCCACAGAGCCTGGATCTATAACCATCAATCTCTTCTGTCATATGTAATTCCCACCACATTGTTAAGTGATGGCTACAATAGCAATGATGATTTATGAACCAGCTAGAATACCCAGAAACTCAGCTATTGTACAGACAAATCCTAAGTGACCCAAGCAGAGAGATGTTCTGAACAACAGTACAAAAGCTATAATCAGAGCTGATTAAGGGGACTCTGAGGTACAGGGCTCGGTTCCCATGATCTGGTAGTAGAGATGTTAAGATGTCGAGATGTCAAGGCTCATTGGGGCCATCTTGAAGAGGGCCTGGAATCCCAGTCCTGGGACTTGTATACCCTGGGAGTGGGAAATGCTTGCCATATCTAAGAAGGGTTAGATTACAACATAAACAAGGCTTTGAGAGATTCAAGGAGTGGGGTGCAGGATGCTTTGGGGAGGGTAGGCGGAGCAAAGAGGCATATCTGTGCTGTGGACACCCTGCTGGGTGGGCCCTTGTCCTGCAGGAGGACGCCTTCTTGAGGCCTAGCTGGCAGGCCCCTCTTCTATGTTAAATCATCCCGCCCCAGAGCAGCCCAGGCCTCTTCACTCTTCTGTGATTCTCCCCGAGGCCTGGGGCTTTCATTGGCAGTGCGGGTCCCTGGGGTTGGTTGGCTTCAAGCTGCAGGAATTGCTAAAGGTGGGTTGAGGTAGAGCCACTTATAACCGTCTCTTATAAATGAGAGAAATACAAAAGGAGAGGGTCTTTCCAGTAGGCATGATGTAGGCACACTGGAGGGATTGGGCCAAGGCCCAGCCCCAAATCTGGGTACGGTGCGGGGGACCAGCGTCGTAAGAATTCAGGAGCATTGAAGGCTGGGGCGTTAGTTGGTGCAGCACACTCAGAGTTGCTGACTACAAGCACAGGTACATTTTCCTCTAAATTAGCGACTTCCATCACCTTCAAAATGCTGTGACATCTTCTTTCAGAATGTGTTCATGCTCCTGACTGAAAAATCATTTCCTGCCCCTAGAAAACCAGGCCTGAGAGGTCATTTTGTGACAACAAAGAAGCCTATGCCCTCTCGCTGTGCTGGAGTCAGGCTCTCGCCTAGATCACAGTGCGTAGACCCAGCTTCTACAAGGTTGGGGCCTCATAACCAGGAAGGCTGGAAACCATGAATCTGAGAGAAAAGGTGTGGGCACCAGGATGTCAACAGCCACACCCCATGTGATGGCAATTGTCCCTCATAGCCTGCCTGCTATTGCCACCAACACAATCCATGGTCACTGAAAATAGTAGCTGTACAGGGCTCCCACAAGCAGAGGCAGGGTGGGGCAGGCTGTCCAGGGTGACAAGCTGACCACTTCCCCCGGGGCAATTGAAGACTTCACTCTGTCTCCCCAGATGGCTCCACTCAGTCTGCAGAGAACTTAATTTCTCTGCCTTTCTGACGCTCTCTTGGGGAAACTGCAGCTTTCACAACCTCCCCTGGAGGAGAGAAAGGGCCTCCCTGGGCATGAGAATTGACCCTAAAGTGAGAGCAGGAATAGAAACCTATTTTTGGGTTTTCTTAGCATATGCAAAAATGTTAGAGCCAGTATTTTTTCTGATTATTTAATGATTTAAGCAATTATTTAATTAAATTACTTAATACTGGCTCCAACGTTTTTTTGTATATGCTAGGAAATTCCTAAGACAAAGAACAGAATTACATACAAAGAAAAGTATTATCCGTCTCTACACACCTCAGATGAAACATATCAAGGAATAAACTATCAGGAAATCAAATCCAGCAACATATTAAAAAAGAATACCAGGACCAAATAGGTTTCTATTCAAGAAATACAAAGATAATTGATCATTAGGAAATTATTAATGTAAGTTATTATGCTAATAGATAAGAGGATAAAGATTTTTATTAATATTTTGATAGATGTTGAAAACCTATTTGACAAATTAGGACCCATTTCTAATTTAGAAATTAGCCTCTGGTGATTTGGAATTGAAAGAAATTTTCTTTGCTTAATAAAAGGTAATTATCAGAAATCAACAACAAGCAACATAGTGCAAAACTAAATCGTCATGTTAAGGTCAGAAACAAAACAAGCATGCCAGCGATCCCTGTTACTAGTTACCATCGTTTTAGAGGTCTTACCAACCCACTAACAAACAAAAAAGAAAGAGATATAAGTTCCAGTTATCGTTACTTGCAAATAATTTTGTTTATCCAGAAACCCAATACAATTAACTAGAAAAAATAAAAATAAAACTAACCAGAATTCTTACGTATGTATTCAATAAAGTGGTTAATACACGATAAATATGATACCTTTCATATCCTAATCTCTTATTAGAGAATATAATGAGTATCCAGTCAAAAGAGGTAAATTCAATGCACACATTCACGTGTGTTTTCTCCAAAAATCTACTATAGTGACAGTAAAGAAATAAATATAAGAAAAACCCATAATGACAAAGAGAATGGGAGAAGAATCAACAGCAGATAAAAAATTTCAAAACGATTTGGAAGCTGGCAGTGGGTGGGTGAGTGGTAGCTGACTCAGCAGAACTGAGAAAATAGAACTCTAATTGGCAGTAGTGGTGGGAGAGAATAAAAATCAGGACAATCCTGGTAAACTCAGAACTCGAAAGTACCCATTGCCTTACAGGGCAAACTGAAAATGAGAGAGCTGTCTTACCCATTTCCGCCTCTTCATCCCATAACCAGGCAACACCGCACAGCTGCCAGCACTGCAGAAGGCTGGTTTATATCCAGAGAGGCCTGCACAGCCAGACTGAAAGCAGAGGACTTCAGGGGCCATCTCTATACCAAACAGAGAGATACCCGGCCCTCTCCCGCTCTGGGGGCTGTAGACTGCTGGCAGTGGAGCTTTTATTTCCTAGGCAATATATTAGAGAATTCCTTTCTGAGGAGCCTCCCACAGCCCTTGGATTAACTGAAGTTAGAAATGCAGGGATGCTTCAATGAAAAATCCAACTAGCCACCTCATGCCCTTCAGGAGAACCCACCAATCATCAAATCAGTGCCACAAAGATGTGACTTTTTTTGAAAAAGTTAAAGGAGGACTTACCCTGCTGGATAACCAGACATATCGTAAAACTACAATAATTAAAACAATGTGGTTCCAGTAAAGAAAAAGGGAGCTCAGTGGAATGCAATCAAGAGTCCAGAAACGAGTTCATGAAGTTAGTATTTGAAAAAGTTGGCTTTTCAAGTCAGTGAAAAAGAGTATGTTACAACTGAGTAATATTTGAGAAAAAGTAGATGCCTACCTCACGATATTCTCAAAACTAAATTCCAGATGCTTAGTAATGTAAATGTAAAAACTAAAAAAATATATAAGTAGTAGAAGAAATGTCGCAAAATGTTATTTCAATCCTGAGATAGAGGCGTTTCTAAAATTGATAAAAAGCTAAGAAACCATAAAAGAAAAGATCAAAGAAAAAGCCAAAAGAAAAATATGAATACCATCAGATTAAAGTCTTATTCAGCCAAAGATATAACAGATAGAACAGATTTTTATTTCCGGTCATAGTGGAGTAACTGGACCAGACTTTTTTGCTGTAAGCAACGAGAAAACTGGACAAAATACATAAAATGATTGTTTTCAGATATTGGATAACAGGCAGAGCAAAACTGTGATCTGAGTTCCTAGTGAGATAAGCCCATGACCCGCCTGGCTTTCCTCCTGGAGGCTCTTTCCAGACTCCAGTGCAGGGAGGAGGGTCCGACATGATGCATGCCAGTCTTAGTAAGCTGGAGAGAGAAAGATGGGAGTTTGGAGAGACAGTGCATGCTAGAATTTGGGAGCGATGAAGAGAAAGAGCTCCAGAAATCTCCTTAGGGTTCCCCGTGCAAACATAGGAGGGGACTCCACAAAGTGGGGCGAAACACTGCTATAGAAATCCTCATTCCAAATTAAGCTGGCAGAAAGCTGAGTCCCTGGGAGGGTGAATGGGGTCACAAGATGAGGCCAAAGCCAGAGATTCGGCTCTGAGAGTTAATGATCTGAAGATGTGGCCAGCCACAGGAGAGAAATAAGTTTTTGGAGTGGTTTAAAGGCCTGGAAAAAACCAGTTCCAGCCCCATCTGCAACAGAGAAAGTGCAGGGAACATCTAGGGTGGCTATGACTTCCTGGGAACTTGGACCTTCTATGGTGTCCCTGTAGTTTGTGTTAAAACTCTGCTATTTTTTAACAAACTAAACATTCCTAGCTACAAAGCCCTTAAAGATATGCTTGTTTCAGGACAGAAGGGACATTGAGAAAGGAGAACAAATCCAGGGAGCAGAGTGTGGTGGCTGTCACAGAGACGAATACAAAGCTTTTGTTTATCCAATGTGTATTTATTAAAGACCCACTCTGACAGGCTTCTGCTGGTTGCTGAGAGGGATGCAGAAGTATGACAAGCAGCCGTTGATCCCACCGCATCACATGAGGTAAGTATGTTTGAACGGGTTAAATAAAAGGGCAGAGCAGGAAACACAAAAGGCCAAATGGAAGGCCCCAGGGAACAAGTAGGGTTCAGAGGCTCACAAGAGGTCATAGTGGAAATGATCCAGAGCTGGCAATGGCAATGACCTCTCAGCTCTGGCCTGCTTCAGACCACACCCTGGCTAATGGGCTTCTTGCAGACCCAGTGATAGAGGGAGTTACAGTTCATGTCATTCCACTTCTTCTGAATATGGACACAGTCTTCGGTCTGCCCATCACTGTGCTTCCAGTTGTCTGGCTGATGATCGTTCCAAAACCTGGAGAAAAGAGGGCTTTGTTCTGCTAGATGAAGGAAGGGTCCCTTCCTTCCACTATTGCATAAGGAGTTGAAGTGACATGGGTTCCTAATCCCCTGGTGGCCTGAAGATGGGGACAAAGCTGGGGCCAGAGTCACCATGAGGATGGCTCTGCTGAGGTTGTTTTTGGTTACTGAGGATTGAGGGATAAGAAGAGTGTCTGAAGCTGCAGGGCCCCTCCCTAAGACTCACATTTGGAGACCCCATGATGGGAGCAGAGCCCCGTGGGACCGTGCCTACATCCTGTATAGATAGGCAAACAAATAAACAAACAAGAAGATCCACTCATAGGCTACCTGCCAACCGCAGGACCGGTCCTGTTCTGATACCCTTCTGTGGAGGAGTCCAGGAAAGGATCACAACTATACCTATGTACACACACACATACACACAGACTATACACATCACACACATCACACACACATCACACAGACACCATACACACCTTGCACACATATTGTATATGTGTATCACACACACAACACTAACACTTACTGGGCAGGTAAACACACACAGGACAGGAACACACAAGTCTTTAACCAGGCCTGCCTGAGACAGTGCCTGGGACAGCATTGGGAACTGGTTGGACTCACGCTGCGCTCCGGGCAGAATTGAATGGTGTCTCATCTACCCAGCGCCAGGCACCCTCCTTGCCCCTGTCAGTGAGGCCAATCCAGTGGTAGAAGGTACTCGTGAACTTTACCAGATATTCCTGTAGAGAAAAGACAGTGTTGTTTGACCTTGTGTGAGGAGCTGTTTCTCCAAGCCATGTAAGAGTCCAGGTCATTCCCTCCTGATCCCAGGGGCACGCAGCCCACTCTTCTGAGGGAACTGGGCCCCTCCTTGGGCCTTCCATGGTTTGTCCAAGATCTAGGACAGCAGCCAGATCCCCTCAAAGGAAGTCTAGCTTTTCCCATGTTGACTTGGTGAGAAATGAAGCTTTACTGGGACAGAGACCTGGCTATAGATTATTAAGATTTGTTTTACAAAATAGTATGTCCTTTGACAGACATACAAAATTGAATTGTACCAAACCTATTGTGGTCCTTTGTCAACAACCCTAGTAAATTCTGATAAACACCTCCAGCAAATGGGCCACCCAGGGACTATATTGACTTTGGTGGTCCTCAGGCTCCTATGTATGTGTCTAGCCTTGCCAAGAAGCCTGAGTCTCTGGCTTGTGGGCCCTCCACAGCCGGTGTATTAACTGATGTTAAAATCAAGATTGACAACTAGAGAGGAAGCTGAGGGTCTAAACACAGGGATGGAGACAGAAGGATGCTCCCACACTCTAAGGGTAGTCACTTGGTGCCACCTCCCATTGCCCTTCACTGCTGACATCTCTGGGCCTCTAAGTGTCTCCCACATTTATTGAGGTTATTGGTGTTTGCTGTCAGTGCTCACTAGAACTCAATAAATATTTGCTCTCTGACTTACAGAAGTGACATGAAGGTCTCTGCCACACCTGCTTCAAGAGAGGAAAGGCCAAAGCACCAAAGCCCTTTACCTCAGACCCACCCCATCAGCACCACCCCAAGCCAGCAGCTCTGACCTGCTCGTCCTCAGAGGTCACCGAGGCCAGGTGGGCTCCATGGGACACACAGAACTGCTCAGCCATGTGCCAAGACTTCTTGATTCCAGAAAAGTAATATAAGTTCTCTCTGTAGGCCTTCCAACCTTGCAGGATCAGCTGGAGAATTTGATCTGGAGCAGAGGTTGAGGAGGAGAGAGAACCAGGGACTGGCAGTGGATATGCAAGAACATGCCTTCCTGATCTCTGCAGGGACTGACCACTGAGAGTCACAAGCACATGCAATGCTTGATGCCCAGTGCCCCAGGGGCAAGGCCTGGGAGGCTGCACTACTACCAAATATGCCAGGAATCTGTAGCCCAGGACACCTGGCTCCATCGCTCCAGGGATCCTCAGACAGCTTTGCTACCCAGACAACACTCTCTTTCCGTGCTCCTGCTTTCGGGCTCTACTACTGTTTTCCAATTCATTGCTATCACTTGGCAGCCCTCTGCACCTCAAACCCTGCCAACTCCCTGGCAGAGGCTTCACAGTCACGCCAGAGTGTCATTCATTTTCTTGACTTCATCTCCATCCATTTCAGCTGCCCGCACCCAGGAGCATACCTGGGACCTTGTCATCACCTGGTCCTCCTGATGTCACAGTTTCAATCAGCTCCTCCCATGAGCACAAGCCCTGATGATTCTCCCAGCGCTTTCATCCCTCCCTGCCGTGACACTCGGCTCCTCAACACCACCTATTCCACAGCTGTTTGAAATGGTACCATAAGAGACTCGCTGTTTATTCTTTCATTCTTTTGTTGGACATTTGTTGCTCAGCATTCCTTAACCTCTATGAACTAGAGACTGTTATACAAAGATCAGTAAGACATAATTCATGCCCTCAGGGAACTTACAGTCTAGTAAATGAGACAGGTATAAAAAAGGGTGTTGGAGATGCATTGATTGAAAACCATGTGCATGTCAGACTAGAAGCAGGAAAGGGGGTATGATCTATTTCACCTGGGCTGGAAGAGGGGCTCAAGGAAGACACCCTAGGTGAGATGTCACTTGAGCTGAGTCTTAAAAGACTGAGGAAAAGTTTGCCAGGTGGTCAGGGCCAAGGTGAGCATACCAGGCAGGGGAAAAGTAGACACAAAAGCATCAAGTCGTGAAACCACACCACAGGTGTGGCCTGATCTATTCAAGTATTTGGTGCAGTCAGCACGTGAGGGATAGGAGACGAACTTGGGCGGGTTCACCGGCACAAAATCGTACATCCTTATGAAAGAGCTTGGGATTTTCTCCTGTGAGCAATGGGAAGCCATGAAGGCCGCTGGCTCCTTTCTCTCACATCAGATCAAGCCTATTCTAATCTAGAAAAACCCTCTCAACGAAGTTCACCAAAATGTTAGCAGTGCGTTCATATAGAAAATATAAAAATTTTCTTGAAAATGCAAGTGGATAATTATTTTCTTATCTCTCTTTTTCAACATCTGGCACATGGTCTACAATTAATATGTAGGTTTTATAATGTAAATATCGATGATACAGGGGTTTTTTTCGATCCTTCCCTCTCCCATGCTACCCTCTTCGCCTCAGCCTCATCTCCTCTCCTCAGGCAAGGTCCTTGAATGACTCGTGTGCCTGATCTTTCATTCATGCCCCACTAACCATGGTCTGGCCTCCAGGCCACACACAACTCTCCACTGAAACTTCACTACATTGACTTACTGATTGCTCAGAGTCTTTGGAAGTCTACTGGTTATTTTACCTTGCCCCTCTTAGGAGCTTGCCAAGACTAGTCACTCATTTCTTGAAATTCTATCCTTCCTTGGCTTCCACAACTGTACATCTCCTGGTTCTCATACTGCCTCTAAGACTGCCTTCTCCAGTCTCTTTCAAAAATCCTCTTTCCC